TGTTTTAAGGACGAAGCTCCTTCCAGCATTGCAAGCAAAACGACCGGAAAAGGCTGCACGTGTGCTTTTCCATCAAGACAACGCTCCTGCTCATCGGGCGATCCTAACTCAGGAGTTTCATCGTGACAACAACTATGAAGTGGTGTCTCGTGCTCCCTACTCACCTGACCTCGCTCCCAGCGATTTTTGGCTTTTTCCAACGATGAAGGACACTCTCCGTGGCCGCCCATTTTCCAGTCGGGCCGCTATTGCATCAGCGATTTTCCAGTGGGCAAAACAGACCCCTAAAGAAGCGTTCGCGGCAGCCATGGAGTCATGGCGTCGACGTTGTGAAAAATGTGTTCGTCTACAGGGAGATTATGTTGAGAAGTGACAGAAGTTTCAACTTTCTGGTGTAAGTAGTTTGTCAGAAAAAAAATTAGGAGACCTTAGAACTTGAACGCACCTCGTACTTCACAGGGGGTAGGAGGGGATTGTAAATCAAGAGTTGTCAGTGTCTTGTCTAAAACAATTTTCAAAGATTTTTTTTCCCATGATCCTCTGTATGGAGCTTATCTTTCCGCCTTCCTTGGGATCAATACGCCCCTACCTCCAAGATAATTGTAGGCAACCGGACCTTCTCATGTCAAACGTGACATGTCACACTTCAATCACTCCATTGCTGTTGAAATCGATCCAAAGGACAGGCGAATTAGCAGCAAAATCCCACGCACCAATAAAGAGTTGAGCGATCATGATGAAATTTGGTCATCATACTCGTATTAGTGCGTCATGAAATTTTGATATCTATGATGAAGCGATGCAGGGAAAACTTGCCGAGCTAGCCGAACACCCCGATGGATGGGGAAAAGGGCGACTACACTCATGAGGCCNTTTCTTCATATTCTTGTTTTATTACGTTGATAGATGTGATATATTTAATGTATTCAATGGTTATATATCACGTTTGGAAAATTAAACTGCATTCGTTTTTACAAATAAAAAAGAAGCCGCAAGAGATTTTGAAAATACGCATGTGGGCATTTTTTCGTACTTTGCAGGTATGGGCGTTTATTCCGTGGGGATTTTTTCTTGTGGGCGTTTTTACTGTGGGCATTATTTCCGTGGGCATTTTTTTAGCGGGCGTTTTTTCGGGGCACCCCCGCGAGCCGTCTAGAAGACGCGACGGTGGGGCACGAGAGCGCGGATGCCAGAATGAAGGCACGAAGAGCCGTCATGACTGCATGCTGAAAACGGCATCTTACGTAAACGGCAGGAACTGGAAATTTGTAAAAGCGTCATCGAGAAAAAAGAAATAAGTTTTGCGGTGGATCCTCGAAAGGAATTTCATTCAGATCACATGAATTTAGCTCTCTTTTTTTTTTTGATAGGAAGGAATAGCAGGGGAAAAGGTTGAAATGTGTCAGCCCATCCACAGGGACACGAACTAGTTCGTCCGAGACGAATCTCGCTCCTCCGACTCTCGCTCCTCCGTGCCCTTCAGTCGAAGGATCTGCATCCGCATGCGATGCTCCCTCCGCAGCCACTCGTGCTGTTCGCGCTTCCACTCGTGTTCCTCCTCCATGCACTGCATCCGTCGGCCGTGCTCCTCGTAGAGCAACCGAGCCCGCAGGTCGGCCGGAGTCTCGCGGGTTTGGGGTGCTCCACGGGTCGAACCGGGAGGGTCGAATCTTTCCTGTCGATCGAATCGGAGGAACGCATTCCAACCTTTCGTGTGATTTCGTCGTTTCGCTCTTAGATCGTGCACGATGTCGCGCAAAATCCCTCGTGAGTACCGAAGAAAAAGAGAGCAAGTACGTGAGAACTCACTGCTTCTTGCCCCTCTCGTCCTCGTCCTTGCCCTCGCCCTCGTCCTTGCCCTCGTCCTCGTCTCTGTCCTTGCCCCTCTTGTCCTTTTCCTCGTCCCTCCTCTTCCCCTTCCTCCGACAAGGGTGTCTGTCGCAGGTACTGCTCGCGCGGTCGAGCGCGCATCTTCTTTATGCTCGCCCTCAGGGAGTTCCATATCCCTCCTCGGAACACTCCTTCCTCCTCCTTCGGTTCACCGAATACAAATTCCTCACCGTTACCCCTCACGAACTCGTGTCCGAAGTAGTAGAGAAAACGATTCGGAAAGCGACCCTTCCCAAGTTCGTGTTCGTTTCGTTCGATTACTTGCGATTCGCATCGTGCCGATGAGAATTTATTTATTTATCGGGCAGACGACAATCGATTCGATGCATCTTCCTAAGGACCATCTCTTTTTTTTTCTGCACCACTCCATATGCGCATCTAAATATGGGGTGAGGTGATGGAAAAGAACGAGTTGGCCCGACCCAAACTGCAGAAAACATGTTAATTTCTTAGCACGACTCACAGAAGCGACAGAAAATGTGAAATAGTATGTCTCAGGGGAAATTCTCAGCGCGGCAGAGCGCATATATGCAATACGCAATGCGCCACGAAATGATCCATTTCACAAAACCAGACGACCCGCACAGGCCTCGTCGTTACCTTCCGGACTCTCGCGGCGGTAGATTACTCTCTTGCTCCCTCTAGCAATCATACCACTTCATCGGTTTCCTACCGAAGAAACAGATGCATACGGACTCCACGAAAAATCCGGCTGCGTTAAAGAGCATAGGTGAGCTCCGAGACTAGCTTCTCTCGTCCCCGCTCGTGGACACACATTCTCCACGTACCTCGTACCTTTGTATTTCTACTCTTTGCATCGTTGCGGGTCGCGCGAAGACTGACCTGTGGGTGATGTTGGGCAGGGGATTCGTCTTCCGCTTCTGCTCCCGCCTTCTCCATCGTCTGCTTCGAAGCATCTTGGAGACTCCCCGGGAAGTCGCGAGGGACGTCGCTCACTTCCGAACTCTCCTCTTTCGGGATCTCCTTCTCTTCTTTCTCTTCTTTCTCTTCTTTCTCTCCTTTCTCTTCTTTCTCTTCCTTTTCTTTTTTCTCTTCCTTCTCTTCCTTCTCATCTTTCTCTTTTTTCTTCTCCTTCTCTTCTTCCTGCAAAAACATTCCGTCACTGCCGGCTCTCGGGCACAACGTTCAGACACGAAATCAGACTAGAGATTTTCTGGAGCTTTTTTTGCACTCAAGAACACTCGGGAAGGACATCCTCGAGCTACTCCTTTGAAAGCGGCAACAAGGTGAAGGCATTTTCAACATCTTCTCGCTGTTTTCCCTCAGTCTCAGGCGATATGAATGAATAAATAAGTTAAAACTTTCAGATGAAAAGATAATGACAGAAAAAGATTTCTCTTGCTTCTATTGAAAAAAGGCATTCAGGGGGACCGAGATAATAGTGGTTCGTCTGTCCAGCTATCTTCTTTTCGGGACGGCTTCGCAGTTTTAAAACTCAAATAATGCTCATTGGAATTGGATTTAACTTCTTATAATGAAAGAATTTCCTCCAAAGTTATGAGTTTTGACCTCAAACCCAATTATTTTTATATTCATCATTCCAGCAGGTGTCAGTGACAGAGCTGAAAAACGCAATTCTTATTCAAATTTGAACAGCCGGGAAGAATAAACAAGTTCCCATTTGAATACCCCCGAATGGCCCAAAAGAAAGTTGCCAACTCTAAATAAGGACGAAATACCATATAACTAAATCAGATCCGACCGGCAAGTTTTCTAGCCAAATCCAGTTATTTCAACAGACTCTGGGTCTGCTACCGGCAGGAAATTTACTGGTCGTCCCATGCAACATGCGTTTCGTGAAAGCTTGAAGAGAAATAGCCCCTTTACGACCCATTTAAGGGAATCGTACGCGTCGCGGGGAGAGGAAGCAGCTGCGCAAAACATGCTGACGCGAGAGCTCAATTGAGATAGCGTTCAAAAAAACTTCCTCTCCTATTCTAAGTAACTTGGGTATGGCAACAACAAAAAATGACAGACGACTTTTGGCCTGAATATCTCCTCCCACACTGGTGCTATTTTCGTGAAACTTCCACATTCCATGTATGAGTGTGTTTCAAACCGATTCGCAAAATGTCGCATCCGAATCTGCCGAGCCGAAGCAATACTATGAGCAATTGTTGAAAATAAGTTAGAGATCGAGAATGGACAAGAGCTCCTGCTGGTGGTGGAGCCGATGGAGCCGGTAATGCCTGTGGAATGGAATGCCTCGTCCCTTCCTGGTCATCCAGACCACGTCGAGCTCATTTTCCCTTTAAATTCATTCATGGAGCTGATTGTGTCTTGCAGATGGTTTTCACGACCCAATGAATAGCAGATGAATCGATGTATCCAGAGAGTTTTCTCCGAGGTATTTTAGAATTCCCTTCGCTTTACGTCAACCCGAGTCGGCAGGGTATGACAAAAAAAGATCAACAACTTTGAGTGCATTGTATGATTGCCAAGTCATATCTCACCGAATCTGCCGAGGATGTAGCATGTTTTCATTCGTTTGAAAGTCAACAAGGGTGTAAAAATCCATTAATGAAGATCTAAGTGATAAACTATAACAAGTCTGACATTCGAAATGGACTATTCCTTTTAAATAACTTTTTAAAAATCAACGGAAATCCGAACGAACTCTGAGAAAACTCTCTAGATTGGTATTCATTGATTCATCTGCTATTCATCGGGGAAAAAGCTCATGAAAACCATTTGCAAGAGACGAATCAGTCCCATGTTACCGATGGTTAAAAAGCAAATTTGAGGGAATTCATATTTTACCTGGGAATCGATGGGGGCATCGGCCTTGACAGCCTCGAGGAGCTTGAGTCGATCTCGATGACCCATTTTCCTTTCCCGAACCTCGGTGTCGATCACGAGGGAGATGAAATCCATGGACGTCATCTGGTGGGAATCGAGGGACTTCCCCTGCAGCAGCGCTCGGTGGTGGTCCACGTCGGTCATCACTTTGCGGATCTCTTCCTTAAGCCTCTTCAGTTTTTCGTCTAGACCTGGGGGGTCCGGCTCCGAGGACTTGCACTCCTCCCGGAATTTCGCAAGCTCCTTGAAACCTGGAGAGCACGCGTTAGGCTGAAAACTACCACGATTTGACGTTCGTCTCGGCCAGCCTCTACGTACGGCAGGGTGGCGCGACCAAAGTATTCTCCTCTGGCATGCAAGTTGAACGCGTTTCACGTTCTGCCAAGGGGTATAAGCACGTATCGACAGTACGAATCCCCTCGCTCCTGACTTGAAGAAAGCTTCTATATTCCTTCTTTCCTTCCCTTTCTGCCAAGGATTGCAATGAGGAAGACTCGAGCGGTAGGAAATGTTTTTTTTTTCAACAAATCTGATTAATATCCATTTTTCGGTAGTTTTTGAGGTGTGTGCTCTGTTAAAGAAGAATCCTGTCACATCAGAAATAAACCAAAAGTGGATATTACAAAATATTATTACGTTCTCAATGTCTTGATAATAATGGTTGTGAATGTTACTTCTGGATTAGGGAACAACAAAAATATTTCAAAATGGAAATCCCGTCGCTCATAATATTGTATATTTGCATTCATGCATATAAATGTTTCGCGATTAAAATTAGTTTTCACAAGGTTTATGAACAAGGAACGAAAGGACTGACTTCGATCCAATTGGAGGTGAAGTTCGTGAAACTGTTCCTCCCAGGTCTGGAGTTCCTCCATGGTGGCCTCGGTCAACTCCAGGCTCACAGGTTTCACGCGAAACACCTCGTCCAGGAATCCCTCGTATCCCTCGACCGAGATGTTCCAATAGGTTTCAGCCAGGAGATCGGCCTTGGCTCGATCCGCGTAGAGGACGGAGTTGTTGACTTGGAAGTGCTTGACGAAGGGGATCCCCGCCCCTTTCACCGTGTCCGCGGCTGGACCCCGTTCGCAGTCGGAGAACGTGAGCAACAGGTAGAGGTTGTTGCGGACGTCCTTGCCGAACAACTGTCGGATGCAATTGAAGACGTAGTTCTCGGCCGGGCTGAGACGGGACGTCGGAGCGGGGACGACCACGGCCGCAGCGTGAAGTTCGCGGATTCCGAATTCCTTGAAGAACGTTCGCACCTGCAAAACAAAGTCGCGTTGATTTCGTGCTTGCATAGCGTCATTCTCTGGCAAACGTGGCATCCGATCGCATGCCGTAGTATCGACGTGACGATTGCGATGATACCCGTCTCCGACATCGATGTGATCTGAAATCCACTTACTTCCGGAGGTGTCACTTTTGTCGAAAGCCAATTTAGACAGAAGTAGGAGCTCTGCAAAAAAAACTACCGTCTCGGGACGGAGTCGATGACTCGACCGCATATAACGTTACTGTAATAGGTGATGAGAAAAATGACGCTTTATTTTCGAAATTGATATCAGTGTGCGAGTTCCTTTTTAATGTTCTCTCGCCCGAGGAAAAAGGAAAAATAACCTTGCTTTAAAGAGCAAGGTGAGAGAACGGGAAGGGAATTCACGACCTCTCTATTCATCGCTGCATCTCTCCTTGCGCTCTCATCTGCAGCATTTTAACCCGGTCTGATGAGATGCCTCTATTCATACTCGAACCTCTTCCCAAGATCTTCGTATGTAGCTCTCTTGTGTCCAACAGACTAAACGCACCCTTTGAGCGCTATCGAGACGCACAGGTTCTGTCACGGTTATGAACGGGTGGTATCAGACCCCAGATGCTGAGAAAACTTTCATTTGGATATTTTGCAATATATCAATATGAGGCGGGGAAGTTTTTTTTTTTAGTTTACGTTTCGATTTTTTTATTTCCCCGTACTCTATCGTATCACAGTAGTCGGATGATCGTGTTCTACTCTAGAAGTGGTCACCTTTCTTGGATTTTGGTACCTGGCTCTTTCTACAGGAAATTCCAAACTTCGAACTCGTGTATCTCCCCTTTTACGAGAACAATTTTCCCAGAAATTGCGACGTTCATAAGCTGACAAGCTTTCGAAAGAGTTTCCAGAATTTCTTACAAATTCATTAAAAAAAAAAAGAAGGGAGATCCTGGAATAGAAGCTTTAATGGGGACGAGATGATACCAATGAAAGAAGCATGCATCCAAAATCCCACAATTCCATACTTTCCATTTTTAAATATCACCTTTTAAAGCAATCATTTCTCACCTGATTTCCGAGAAATGAATTAAGGTGAAATGTAACAAAACTGCTGGAGGTATCAGCGCATGCAACATGCAACGTTGATGAAAACTGCTCCGATAAGAGAGGAGATGCACGGGTTCAAAGTGCTCTTTTTTTGCGAAAATTTTCTCTCCCAACTTATGATACAGTGAAAAAAAATAGCGAAAAAAAGGTGCGAAAATGAGATATGACGACCTCTGCACGATCTTCGCATCCTTAGAATGGAAAGCCACACCTTGTTCGGGGTGTGCAAAAAAGGATAAACTCATGTGGTGATACCATATTTCGTGAAACCCTTTCTGTTGCGCGTGGTACCCGAAAGCTTTTCATCATACCTCGTATCAAACTATCACGAAACAGAATGTTTTATCATTGCTTCGCAACTTCTTGATACCAATTCGATATATATACCGATTCAACTATCGAGTAGCCGTCTCGGATCGCCCAGTGTAAGAAATCTTTGAGCCTTGCGATTTGCACGAGTCGCTAGAGTCCCAAGAGAAAAGGATAAGACTGGGGCGATCCGCACCGATCGTTATTTTGCCAACCTGTTTGAGGATGAACTCGTCGACGCCGAGGCCGCCGGTGTCGCCGAACCCGGGGGTGTCGACCACAGTGAGGACCCGATCGGGCCGATCGGGGTCGGTCAGAGTGTAACCGGTGACCCATGTCGTCTGGCTCTCCGTTACCTCATCCTCTTTCGCGGATTCCTTCACCATGTTCACCTGGAATCTCCTCTCCATCTCCCATTTCACTCCGGACATGTGATTGACCAGCCCTTGCACCAAAGTGCTCTTCCCTGTCCAAAGTCGGAAAACCATGAAATGCAGCAATCACAAAAGTTGTTCGTTTTCAAAGAGTGATTAATTCATTTTTATTTATCATTCAGTAGCTAAACAGGGATTATTACAGGGTGGGCCATAAATATTCACACCAAATAGAAGTCTTGTATTTCCTGAACTAATAACTTCACATGGAATCAATTGAATCTCAACAAGAAACAAGGGCCCACGGTAATCATTCACAAAATATATTGTATGCGTCCCCGTTCTTCTTGAAGGGAACCTGGAATCTTTGAGTCTGCCGGTCGGTCGCATCGGATGGACATGGTTTCACTCTTCGTCGTCCGTGTTCTTGGATCATATCTGGCTCATGGTCAGCCAGACAATTTTTTGAACCTCGAGCCATTTTTAGGCGGAGAAGGATTCGTGTTAAAATAGTCAAGGTTGGCTACCAAAGCGACACTCACATTGAGGTACAAAACAATTTTTTCTTTGCTGTTTTTAGGGGGACAGAAATAGAAAAGTAGTATAAATATTTATAACCCACCCTCTATATCTATATGGGCCATACCTTGGTTATCAAGTCTGGAATTATAATCCCAGGAGTTATGCTTGTGATGGCACCTCCATCTCTTTTCCTTATCTCCTTTCACGGAATCATGCGTCTGATCACATTTTATATGCCACTATACTGTATATTGTATGCCATTATATGGAAGGCTATCTATCCTAAAAGGGTCGACCAGCTGATAAGGATCACCGTGCGCTGTCGCTCAACTTCCTGTCATGTTTCCTTATCTGTGGAAAATAGCTCGTCAGAGAAGGAAAAGTTTCCTATATTCCAGGAGTACGAGGGCGACTTCGGTGGCCTTCCTTATGTTCACTTTAAAGAACACGAAGAGGTCTCTTCTACGGAAAAGATTTCTCCGCGAGGAGGAAGCTCCTGAATGACGTCATTGGTCTAAAGCTCTTTAGAATTTCATTTGGGTCGCTAACTGTAAGATCTGTCAGGTCTTCCAGATGTTCTAAATGTTTTGAATAGTGACATCATTCGGAGTTGCAAGAAAAACCAGATCCGGGTCGAGCACCGAGCACGAATCGAACCGAAGATAACCGATGAGCAAAATTAATTACTGAATTACAGCCAAGAGATGGAAAGCATCCGAGGGGAAGACCTAAGAAATTTGCATTTCTGAGTAAGGAAATTTAGAAGGGGTGAATTGCCCGCCGCACACGAGGCAATTTTTGTCGTGCGACCGTCGCTCCACACGATATTGCTCCGTGAGCGGGGGTGCTGCGATGTTGCTGCGATGTAGGCCGGCCCTAATACTAGCTTTAGATGGAAGCAGCTTGGGATATAATGAAATGGCGTATACAGTAGATAGGGAGGACTTCGTTCGACAGTGAACAGAGACTGATTGATGACAGTGAAGAGTTAGTTATCTCCTTGTGATGCCTTGTGATGTAGGAGGGAGTCGAGTATTTCAATTCACTTGACAAGAGATTTTTTTGTAATGACAGTTTTGGGAACATGGTAAATCGAGGAAGTAAGCTTCCATGGATATTAAGTGAAAACCTTTCGCAGAATTGAATAATGGGAATACAGACCTGACCCGGTGGCACCGACCAGGAGGACGACTTTCCCAAGGTCTCCACCTACGTATCCATTGAGACGGTATCGGGCGATGCGATGTTCCTCGTGCCGGTCCACCTCCTCCATCGACACTTTGAGAACTCGAGGGATGGCCTCTGTCGACCCTTCACCCTGTCCTGGGTCATCTGGGTCACGTTCTCCCTCGCGTCCATCCGTGACGGTTGGCGCCATGATTCACACCCGCCTTTGTATGGAGGAATCGGTGAGTTCCTCACCATAACGCACCGTGAAGTGGAGGCTTCCCTTATCAGCTTTGCCAACTAGACGCACTTTATCTCGCCTGGATGATTTTTTTTTTAGTTTGGCTAGTTCAACAATTTCTTCGCTGGAATCATATCAATTGAACCGAAAGCTTCAGCACAAAATGAAAACAAATTTTTTGTATGTAATATATTTCTCACGAATCCTTACAAATTCGATCTTTGTTGTCTAGATTTGTCATGAGGACGGAAGGCACGGGAAGCTTGGATGGCAAGAGAAAACTTGTTTGTCAGGGGACGGCCGGGTATTGAACCCGTGCCTCCTGATTGCCGGTCAGGTGTGATACCATTACACTACCTCTCCGCTTCCTCTCCATATCATCCCTATCATTACAGATTGTAAAAGTCCCCTTTCGATAGCAGTCATTGAGGTAGAGGTGTCTCAAGTTTAGGTGAGATTTTTCAACGTTATGTCAGTCTAGGAATTGATTAGCTTAACTTCTTTTAATCATCAATAAATTATTTAAAATTTTACGTCGATCCGCTTTATGAACTTTATGATCTGCTTCTTCAGAGTGACCCCAGGTTTCTGTAGGGGGAGGATCATCGGTGGTACCCCAGGTTCCCTTCCAAGAGCTGTTGGTAGTTTTCATGTAGTATGCGACATAAACTACCTTCTGGGTTATCTCCTTAACATTGATAACATGGGCAATTATCAATGGAGAAATGCTCATGTAGTTGCAGGGGACAATGTGAAGAGGACCCTAGTATTTAAAAAAAGCTGAATATATCTGGTTTTCAATATTCTCTGGTAACCATTCCCAGAACTTTAATCGCAATCTTCGAATTCTCTCTTTTTTTTTTAGCGCCAGTTATCTATATGTGCTTCAGGAGGTGCTTCGATTTTGCCTACATTCTCATTTTGCCACCTGACCCGAGGCATGAGCACTTCCCCACTGCGGCAACGCTGGAAGACATGATTTCTAGGGAGGAGTACAGGGTTTCCGGAATGACTTTAACCCGCATTAACATGGGCTCCATGCTTTTCTATGGACCCTACTGGCGGCTCGGCAAAATAGTACTTCTATCACTTTTAACAGATGTCGTTTCAAGCAATAGAGGCCTAATCGAGTCGTCAACTTCACTGTAACTCCTTACAGGTTCATGGAGTATGTCATAGGACCCTTCAAAGATGTGACAAAGCTGGTGACCGTAAATGACAAAATAAAGAGATGCAACGTCAAATTGAAAGTTTCGGAAGAGATGTATTCTTCCCAGAACAAACCGGCAGTGCAAGAGAAACGGTGTAGTTCAAAAGTTTTTCCTACTATAAAAATGCGAATTTTTTTATTATAAAGAGACAATTGCAGTTTGTCCACGGCTGACATTTAAAAAATCCTGATATTATCGAAATTAATCAATTTAAAATTAGTGGTACGTTGTCGAACATAAACTGAAGGAAATGGCAAAGGGAACAGATTTCATTTACACGAGGGAATCCCCACATAACCTGCATACCCACAAAAAAAGATGTGTTAGAGAAATCGTATGGTACGGTAAAAGAATAACAATGTAGTCATGTTTTTCTTACGCTCATAAATGATCCCTATCCTTGAAAATGTCCCGATATCATAATGAAGTCGTGGCCCATCTACCGAGAGACACATTAATTTGTGCCTTTGCAAGCACCTCTTTGGTTACTTGCTTTTTTTTTATATGACCAGTGGCGCGAGAAGGTACACTTTTGGCCCGAGTCCAAAGAATTCCTTCTACGTTTCAGATTTTTGTATTATACTAACCTCACTTTCAGTTTAAGCAGGCAGCGCATCCTGCCGTACTTAAAACGGATTTTGAGACATGACCCATTTACATCTCTACTGTTACGCTTCTCGTCAAACTAGTTAACTCGTCATTAGTAATGATGGTAAAGACAATATGTCTCTCGCGTCGCTGCAGGCAACAGCGCCACGGAGGGTAGGGGGTAGGGGGGTTAAAGTCAATCCGGAAACACTGTAGATGTCGTATGATAAAGATAGCAGGTACATCTGCCGAAATGCGAAAGAAATAACAAACAGTTACTGCCTCATTCGCAATGGGATCCAGAGGGGCCCTTTGGCATTTTTCACCTTCTCAGTTCATCACCAGCCCCCAAACATCAAGTGGGGAAATGTGAAGCCCCACACAGGATCATTGGGTGCCACACCACAAATGTAGCATTTTTCCTGAAATCACCATTCGTAAAACTACATCTGCAGCAAATTTCAGCCTATTATTTTTGGAAGAAACGTGTAATCACAATGAGTGGGTGACGAACGTCTGGGAAAAACTGCAATCTTTTTGCAATTTACTTGGAGTGGGGGGGGGGGGGGGGGGGGAAGAGAGTTGTCTCCCCCCCTGAATAATTCCTTCATACATTTCTAAGGCAACCAAAACGACTATTTCACTTCTTTGGAAAAAAAGTTCGCCCAAAAAATTGCTTCCCTAGGGAAGTGCCTGAGAAATGGGATTTTTCCTAAACTCTGTGGCCCAATTGCTAATTGTAAGCCAAGTTTCAGCTTTCTATCTCATCAGAAACATGGTTAAAATTACCGTCAGTCAGTAAGTCACTGTCACACCATCGTCGATATATTTATGTTAAATATACAAGCTACACATATGTAAATGGATCATTGAAAAACAAATTTTGCAGTATATTCCAAAATAAGTTTTTATTAAGATCAAATAGAGCAAGTAGGATAAAAGAAAACTGAGAACGCATAAATGAACCCCCCGGAATTTTTCGGCACATTCACTTACAGTGGGCGGTGTACTTCACCTGACGTGCGCGGAGCCTCGTGTTGCAATTTGAGGACTCTCATTCGTTCCAAATGCTCTTCCCATAACCATTCGTGCTGCATCCTCTTCCATTCGTGTTCTTCCTGCAAGTTCTTCGTCCATTGCTCATGGAGCAAGTGCATGTGCTCCAGCCGCAGATCGTGCTCCTCTTTCAGCACTTTCACTCGCAAGTCGTGGAAGGCCTTGCTGCGAGCTCCACGTTCGCGAATGTTTTGCTCAGAGGCTGTCAGGACTTGTCGGTTCCTTTCCGCTTGCGGGTGGGAATTCGGTGCCGAAGGCGCATCAGTGACTCTCGGTGAATCCTCTAGCGTGTGCGACTCCAATGTGTCATCATCAATTCCAATATCTGTAACCAGAAAGTATTCAACACCTGATGCACAAGAATTCGTTGAAGACATACTCGACGGAAACTTTGGCATCTCGGGATGCCGTTGGTCTCATAAGTAAAATGGTTGCCCCGTTGCTTCAAGGCGTCGCGAAGTTGGGCAGTAGGTAGCTCCTGCCACGTGATGTCCAAAAACTGTCAAAACTATTTATTTATTTAAACTATTATTTGTGCTTGATAGAGTCGAAGAGACTTCATCTCGAAGGACAGAGATACGAAGTCTGCCTTCGTGTTACTGGAAAATTGACTTTTGAGTGCATGCATGATCCTTTCGAATGCATTTCCAACCAGTTAGAGTTCTCAGAGGACGCATTTCAAATCAAAATAGGCTCGACTGTTTTGAGGCATTTTGAGCTTTACGACTGCTCGAAACGCTCTCGTTGACCATCTCCTAACTCTATATTTTTGTTATCGCCCTAGCCAACAGACGTTGAACGTGGGTTCTTTACTAATTAAAGTGTATTCTGAAATCTCGGGAATGTCACCCTAATGCCTGGGGCAATACTTGCGGATCGGGTTCAAGTGGACTTTAAAAAATTAATGGAGAAAGCCATTTACACTCTCCTTGAGAAGTAAAGAATCACGCACAAAAATGCAATATTTGCTGTTTCTGAGATTTACTTGCGACTGAGGTGCCTCACTATTCCCCAGAATGTAACTGATAACGATCGAACTTTGTCATTCCATCAAGTCTTTGCACGGCTGCTACACGTTTTAACATCTAATGCGCATTTGAAAACGTGTCTCCAATCGGAGACAATGCCATGCAGTAACGGATCAAAATGCTCTGTTTACTTATGCCGTACTTGGATAAGTCTGAGCACCTCAGGCATGGCATTAGTAAGTGCTTCGTAAGCAAGGGGAGATGGAGGTGACCTACCCGCAGTTTTACGGACTTCCCTCTCCCATTCCCCATCCTCCTCCTTCTCCCTCTCCTTCTCCCTCTCCTTCTCCTTCTCCCTCGCCTTCTCCCTCTCCTTCTCCCTCTCCTTCTCCCTCGCCTTCTCCCTCTCCTTCTCCCTCTCCTTCTCCCTCTCCTTCTCCCTCTCCTTCTCCCTCTCCTTCTCCTTCTCCTTCTCCCTCTCCTTCTCCTTCTCCTTCTCCCTCTCCTTCTTCTTCTTCCCCTTCTGTCAAACGACATTAAGACAGGTGATCAGAATACTTTCAGAAGTGGAAATTTTTGTTTTTACAACTTCTTTTTTATGCAACACCTGTTTACATTTTTTAAAATTTTTTCTTGGCATTGGATTCAACTTCTTGGGGTTAAAAAGTTTGCAATTTTTCTGCCTCACATCTGAACATGACTAGATTGAATTTACTAATCTAATCCTTTCGTATCATGCTTTTTCTGGCGCAAAAAATGTCTCGTTCCTCGAATGCACCTCGAAAGGACACCTACCTGTCCACGTTTGGGTTTTAGTTCGTTGGGTTTGAGTGCGTCGGCTTTGACAGCCCTGAGGAGCCTAATCCGGTCCTGATGACCTGTTCTCTGTTCCTGAGCCTCAGTTTCAAGCATGAGGGAGATAAAATCCGTTGACGTCATCGAGCGGGAGCCGAGGGCTTTCCCCTGCATCTGTTCGTGATGGCGGTCCACCTTGGCTATCACTTCCCGAATCTCCTTCCTCAGCCTCTTCTGCATTTCATTCAGACCTGAGGGGTGTGGCTCTGAAGAATGGCACTTTTCTCGAAATTTTGCCAGCTCCTCAAAACCTGTCAAAACGGGGTGATTTCATGCATCCAAAGTGGCCATACCTACTATGGCAGTTAAACCTTGGCAATTTTACATGAAATAATGCAGACGACTCAGTTTCATAATTTTACTGCAATATTCTTT